GCTGGGTGTCTGGGTGAAAGCCAGAGGCACCTGGTGAGCAGAGCCTGACCCAAAGGCAGCCCCGGCCGGCCCCACACCCGCCTGCAGCCACGTGGAGCTCCCAGTCCTACCACCGGAAGCCCTTGGAGGGCCACACCAAGAGCGTCGAGTGGAGCTTCCCGCCCTCAGCCTCCAGCAGCTCGCCCACCTCCTACACCTGCTCAGACACCTGTAGCTCCCAGCTATCCATGCCCTCCATGGTGCAGAAGGTGACCGGGCACCCTCCCGGGGAGTGCAGCTCCTTCCATGCTCAGCACATCAGGGCCAAGGAGAATCGTTTCCGCAAGGACCAGCCTGGGCGGCAGCCAGCAGGTACCCTGGGCTGGCTCCCTGGTTCCCAGCACCCAGCATGCCCTCGGTACCAGAGCCTAAGGCGCAGACCTGCCCAGACCACGCTGAGTTTACCCTGTAGAGGTCAGCAGCACCACCCTGCACACACAGATGGGGGCTTCAGAGAGTTTGCAGAGAAATGAAACTAATGGGCCTTGGCATCCCCCCACCCCCAGCCCAGCCCCATGGCTGCAGTCACAGGTGAAGTGGTGGCTCCACATGGGGATTCCCCAGCCCACTGGCTTCTTTTCCCCAGATCTTCAGAAAACCCTAGGGCACAAGCCCCACCAGGCCGACTTGAGGCCCGAGGCCAGTCCAGACACCAGCCACCCTCCCCCAGGGCTCGTGAGGGACACAGCCCCGCTCCCCGCACCCGCGTCCCACAGGCTGGCAGGGTCCGGCCTGAAGATCGTGGCCGTTAGCAGCCGCGACAAGTTTATCCGCATCCTCAACCAGTCACTGGACGAGACCGTCGACCTGGGTGGCTTCGTGCTACAGCAGCTGGTGCGCAGCTTCCCCAAGGGCCGGTACCGCTTCCCGGCGGGCACAGTGCTGGAGCCTGGGCACCACGTCACGGTGCGCCCCACCCCACCACGCCCCCACCACGCCCCCACCTCGCCCCGCCCCGCCCCTCACTCGGCCTTCCCCCACCCCACCCCCGCAGGTGTGGGGTGTGGGGGCCAGCAGTAAGAAGCACCAGCAGGCATCCGTGGGCGGGGAGTTGGGCCGCATCCACTCCGGCCACGGCTGCGTGACCCTTCTCCTCAACTCCAAGGGCCAGGTCAGTGTAGGCCAGGCCTGGGGCAGCGGGGAGTCGTGGGGGACACCCCCCCCCATTGAGACCCCCCTCCCACCCCCGCGTGACCACCGCGCCGCGCCTCTCTCCTCAGGTGCTGAGCGAGTTCCACACCCCACCCTCCGTGGCCCCTGTATCCCCCTCCCGGGTGTTCTCCGACAACATCGATTTGTCCATTGACCGCTTCCCGCTCGCAGAGGCCCCGCTGGACACGCACAGCCACGAGCAGCCCCAGCAGCCTCCGAGCCAGCCTGGGTCCCTGCGCAGGGGCCAGGCGAGGGGCCCCCAGGGAAAGCTCAGGAAGCCCAGGTCAGGGCAGGGTGGCCAGGGTTTGCACCTCCCCCAGACTCCACCCCCACTAGGAGGGGTCCAGGGGCCCAAATTCTGCTGAGACCACCTCCATCTCCCTAAATCTCACCCCACCTGTTCCCTTCCTGTGGAGTGGCTTGGGGGGCAGCCCTCAGGCCCTCTTCGCTTCACCAGGAGGGATGTCTTGCCACTTCTGAGCCCCAAAAAGCGGGAGGCGTCTGGGTGGTCTGAGTGTACCAAGGCTGTGAAGCCCCTGCCCAGCTTACGGGGTGAGTGTGCCAGCTGGCCGGGGTGGGGCGCGGGGTGGGGGAGTGGGTAGGAGCAACCTGAAGGGTCAGCCACGTGCCTCCTCGCCCTTCTTTGTTGCCCTCAGAGGTCAGGCCCAGCCTTCAGGACAGAACCTCCAGGAAGGAGCACAGGGTCCAGGTGAGAGGAAAAGGGCTCCTGTGCCGCCTGGACGTGGGGGGCCTTCACCATCTTGCCCTCTCTATACCCCCCTAGGGTCCTGCCCCTTCGCACCCTCACCTCATCCTACCGAGCACTCTCCCCCAAGCCAGGGTCTGCCCTCTGAAACCCCAGCACCTGCAGATGTCCCTCTGCCCCACCCCCATTCCTGGGTTGTGCCCCCCTGCACCCACTGCCCCCCTCATCCTACCTCCTGCCATCTCAGCACCCCAAGCAATGACCCCACTCCGACTACCCTGGCACCCATGCCCCCACCCCAAACCCCAGGCCTGAGCCCAGCCACCTTCCATGCCCAGGTGTGCCGGAAGGGCGTGGACTGCAGGTGCCCGATGGTGGCCTTGTCCGTGCAACGCACAGCCGAGAGCAGGTATGGCTTTCGCTTCCTGAGCTGTCTGCCCTTCACCGTGGACACCTGCGGGCGCCTGTGATCACCGAATGGGGACCGATGACCCGCAACCCATCTCGGGGTCCCCGGTGACGGCACGCCAGAGAACAGCTGGGAGGCCCACGGTGCCCGCTGAGCGAGAACTTTATTAAACCAACACTGCCCACGCAGGGCACACGTTTCTGTTCACCTGAGAGGTGAAGTGTTCCCTGTGGTTTGGGGGCATCCCCGCCCACCGAGAGGAGGGACATAACCACCCCATCTCCACACCAGGAAATCACTGGCCCCCTAGGCTGCTCATCTTGAAGCCAGGCCACTGGAGTCATGGGGCAACTCTGCTGTCAGAGCCCCCGGTTAATCCAGGTGTGGGACGAGGGTGGGTGGGGCAGCTATAGCACCCTGCAGCCCTCCCGGTACAGCCACATGGGGCGCCCCTCTGGACCTGAGCTGTGGTGGGAGCAGGCTGTGCCATCTTGGTGGGCCTTCTGCCACCTACTGGCTGCTCCCCACCCCCTAGGGGGCCTTCTCCGGGAACCAGGCCCACCCCACCTTGCCCACCAGAGTCCAGGCCACATGGTCACACAGGTGCTGCAGGGTGGCAGTGGAGGAGGGGCTCACACTAGGGGTGGGGGTGGGCTGGAATGATGGGGCCGAGGGCCTGGAAGCACTGGAAACTGGCTTGGTGTCTGGGGGCCGCGTCCAAGAGGGGCTGTGGGGTGGGGCATTCCTGGGCTCTCAGGCTCTGGCCTGAGGCCACGTCCTGGCCTTTCAGGGCAGTCCCAGCTGCCAGCTCTGGCCCCAGGCCCCTGAGTCGGCGCCCCCTGAAGGGCTTCTTAGATGACCCCCAGGAGCCAGAGCCAGGACCCGGTGGTGCCCGGTTCTTGGGGGGAGAAGGCATCAGCTCGCGGGCGGGGCCTGCTGAGTGCTCTGAAAGACAAGGGTGGGCGGGGTCTGTGTCCACTGGTTTCAGGGGCCCGTGCAGCCAGGGAGGCAGCTTCCTGGGCAGCACCCCCACAGACACACACACCCTGTGCCCCCACCGCCCACATCACTGTCCACTGTGGCATGCAGGGAGGCCTGCAGGTCTGGACCTGATCCCAGATCAGTCATCTCTATGGAACCTGCATAAGGCAAACCCTAGAACGCCCTCAGCTGACCAGCCACCTCTCAACCCTGTCCGAGCCCGCCCTGCTTGTTCTCTGTCACCCTGTCAGGCCCCTGCCTTCCTCTGACCCTGCCACCAGCCAGCATAGCTGCAGATGCCAGGAGGGTAGGCAGCCACCCTATTCCCTGGCCATGGAGGGCAGACACCTGTCTAGCTGCGACCCTGAGTCCCACCATCCCTGATCAGGGCAGCCCCACGGGGCAAGCGGTCCCCACCCTCCTGCCCTCTTTATACAGCCAAGGCCACTCAGAAGGCTCCCCCACCCCCACCCCCCAGTTCTGCTCACAATGCTTTTCTGGAATTCCTTTTCTGAGCGCCACCAGCCCAGCTAGGCCAGGAGACCTCCAGGTTGTGAGAGGGCAGTGGGGTGGGGGTGGAGACTAGTGACTGATGCCATATCCCAAGGCAGGTTCCCCCCCCACCAAGGTCTCAGGCCATCCCTGTCTCAGCCCCTTGGGGCCCCCAGCCTCAGGAGGGTGTTGAGGTCTCCAGAGCCCTGGGGGCCGGCGATTCAGTACCTGGGGCTGGGCCCAGAGGCCCCTTGGCGGCCTGGGGCCTGGCCTCCTCCTGCTGCTCTGTAGGGTACCTCCGAGGACCCTGCAGGGCTCCTGTCCCTTCCTCTGAGGGCTCCCGATGCCTACAAGGAAGGGGACTGTGGTGGAGAAGGGGGGAGGTTGCAGCATTCCCTTGGCTTCCCCAGGGTCTGTCCCCCTGTCCCCCAGGCTTTGGAGGGGCACCTACCGTTGGGATAGCTCCCTCCAGGTCAGGAGCTTGGACAGGAGGTCAGGGCTGTCTGCAGGGTCCAGCCGTGAGGCAGAGGCGTGGGCTGCAAGGTCCCCCAGCTGGTGGCGGGGCAGGGACAGCTGTTCTGGGGGCACCCAGGTCTGGGGAGGGAGAGGGCTGGTGTAGGGGGCATAGTCCTCAGCAAGAGGGGTGGCAGCCCGCAGGTGGAAGGACTCAGCTGGGTTGAGGCTTGGAGGGCTGGAGCCCCAGGCCTGGACAGAGGCTTGCTTGGACCACAGTCTGGGTTAACAACCTTGGCCGTGACCTCTGAAATGGGTCTTTGAGGAGTAGAGTCCTGGATCCTGACCACTGAGGACTGGCCCTGAACACTGGCCGTGGGGGCAGGGTAAAGCCCAGTTGCTGGTCCATGGGGAACTGGGGCCCTGGACGCTGGCCATGGGGGTGGAACTGGCATTGTAGACATTGGCCACAAGGGGGACTGAGTCTCTGGCCACTGGCCCTTGATGCTGGCTCGCTGGGAGAACCAGGTCCCTGATGCTGGCCACCAGGGACAGGGCAGAGCCCTGGACGCTGCCATGGGAAGTGCAGGGTACCTGACAGTGGTGTCTGCGTTCCCAAAGGCCTTTGGTGGGGTTCCCGCAGAGGACATGGCTGACACCTACAGAAGAGAATGGGGCTGGACCTGGGGACTGGGGAGCTTCGGGACCTGGGGGCTGTGGCAGGGGAACTTTGGGACCTGGGGGCAGTTACCGTGGGTGAGGTTGCTGACATTGTCCTCTGGGGCTGGATCTTCAGGGTGCAAGCTTTCCAGCAGGGGACCCCCAGGAATCAGGAGGGACAGGGGCCACGGGCTGGGGGTCCGGGGCTGAGCCTCAGGCACAGACAATTTGGTGCTCTGTCGTTGCCTAGGGGCCCCATGAGGACGGTCTGTGGAGGTCAGAATGGGAGGGTCCCTGGTCACTGTGGCCCATGTCAGCCATCTGGCTCCCAAGCCCACCCCAGACAGTCTGAGGCTTGGGTCCGTCAAGGCCAGGCCTTTGAGTCTCAGACCGTCCTCTCTGGGCCGGGCGAGGGGAGAGCCTGGTGGGACCAGGCTTCCATGGCAGTGGCCTATGGAGGAGGTGAGGGTCTGGTGGGCAGGTATGGGGCTCTGGGGATGGGGCAGGGGGTGAGGTACTACGTGGCCCCCGTGAGGTCTGGGTGTGTGTGCAGATGCCACTGGGGAAGTGGTGCAATGAGGGGGAGGGGAGGGTGGGGCTGGCACAGAGACCTCTCCTGGGGGCCATGGGGAGGCCTCCGGGCCAGGTGGGCGCCCTCCTGGAGGGGGTGAGTGGACCCCATACCCAGCCCGGGCAGCAGGCCGTCCAGCATGCCACCCTCCCTGATGGCCTCTTTCACCATGAGCCAGTCCTCTGTCAGTGTCCGGGTGGCTGGCAGGCCGGTCTGTGCGGCCGGGGCCTCGTCCAGGACCTGCAGCTGCGGGATGAGTCTGCACACCTCTGCCCGGTAGTTGTAGCCTCGGGGAGCCTGCAGGAGGCAGGCCGGCCAGGGTTGAGTATGTCCCCTCCAGGTTGGCCTGGCTATTCAGCTGCCAGAGCTCCAGGGACTCTAGGCTCATATCCACTAAGGACGTGCCACTTCACCTGGCCAGGGGGCCGGTGCCCCTCTGGCCCAGCAGGCTGCCCTGAACTGTGTGACTGGGTGGCCAGGGCCCCTGGCAGGTCGTTTCACTCAGCTGAGGCCAGTGAGGGAGGGCAGGTGACTTGTTCCCTGGTGGGTGATGGGGGAACAAACCTCATGCACGGCTGTGTGTGGAGGAGGTGGGATCTCTGTGCTGGACGAGTGTGTGCGCGTGTGCGTGCCCGTGCATGGTTCTGTGCAAGCCCAGGGTGGCGCTGCAAAGTCTCGTGTGGTGCAGGCCTGGGGCTTTGTGTGCACATGGTGGTGTGGCTTCTTTGCCTTGGCACTCCTGGGACTGCGGAGAACGAGCTCTGAGGAAGTGAGGCCCAGGGGCTGGGGGCTGTGTTTGGTGGGGAGAGGGGGCAGTCCCCTCAGCCTGCCCATGCCACCCACCTTGTTGGAGGGGCCAGGGTCTGGCCGCAGGCACACCAGGTTGCCCTGCAGGGTGAGTGTGGCCAGCTGGGGACACAGCTGCAGGTAGCGCACCTGGCCCAGGTCCTCCACGCTGTTGCCCTCCAGGTCCAGCACCTCCAGCTGCTGGAGCAGGCACAGCGGGCTCAGGTCTGAGACGTTGTTGAAAGAGACATAGAGTTCCTGGGCAGCAGGGGGGAAGGGCTCAGCCGGGGCGCGGCCCTGCGCCCCTCCCTGCCCAGGGTGTGGTTACCCACCCACCTTCAGGGCTGGGAAGGAGCTTATGCCGTCCAGGTCAGGCAGGCCACAGCGAGCTAGCCAGAGCACCTGCAGGCGACCCAGGGACGTGCCCAGGTCCCTATAGAAGGCAGAGGGGTGGTCAGTGCAGTCGTGGGGTGCAGAGCCATGCCCCTCCTCAGCTGTGGCCCTCACCTGGCTGTCTCCAGGGGCCTGGCAGTGGAGGCTGTGGTGGGGGAGACTTCAAGGGCTCTCCTAGCCTGGCCATGAGCCAGAAGTGACGAGGGTAGGGTGTCCTCCACCCTCTCTATCCCCTGGAGGACCTGAGCTTGTGCCAGATGGCCTGGCCTCACCTCCCTGCTGCCCATTGGACTAGAGCTGAGCTGCCCCTCCCTCTGCCAGCTCCTCCTCCGAAGGCTGATGGCCAGGTTCCCACCCGTGCCCATCCAGACCCTCTCCACCCGCTGTCCCACAGCTCCAGACCTGGGCGTGTCCCCGTTTGCAGGTCCTTCCACCCGGCCCACCACCGGCCCCGGGTTCTGGGGTATTTTGGCCGGCTGCTGCTTTGGTGTTTCCGCGTCCTCACCGGTCAGTCGGTCCTCTGGGACTGACCCACGCTCTCTTGCCATTCCTCGTCCATGGAGACCTCTTGGCTTTCTCTTGGGCTCTCTGGGAGGTGCCCTCATCTTTATCTACTTACTTTTAAGCTGTTCTCATCGCTGAATTTCCAAGCACACAGTAATGTGCCCCTCTTCATAGCACACTGTTCTTGTTTCTTGGAAACAGTGCTTCTTTTCCTCCACGTCCCTCAGACACTAGTGACGGGCCCTTGGCAGTGCAGGTCCTCAACTGGCACTGCGGCCCCTGAGGGTCCCAGTGGGCATGTTTCAGCTCCGCCCTCTCATGATGCAGCTGTAACAATGTTTCTCATGATGGCTGTTTCAGTGTCCAGACTTGGAAAGGAGACTCTGAGGGCTGGTCGGAAGCTCTGAGCCCGGGGGGCGGGGGGCTGCCCTTGGGGCATGGGCACCAATACTGGAGGTGGCCGCAGAACCTGTGTGCACATGTTTCTGCTGGGCCTGGTGCCCTCTGTGTCCATCCTCTATTCCAGCCTCACTGGCCTCCTTGTGTTCACACTTACGGACCCCCACTTGCTCCTCCTCCTCCTCGGAGGGCTCAGGCTGGCTTCCTGCCTTCCGCTATGTCAAAGTGCCTCTTATCTTGTAGGCTCTTCTTAATGATTTCTCCATGCCTGGCTAATTTCTTTAGATCTACCTTCCAGTTCACGAACTCCACCTTTGGTTACATCTCATCCACTGTGTGGCCTATCCATTGAGCTTTCAGGCCACGCCATCCACTGTCCAACCTGCCCATTGAGCTTTCTCCGTTTGCTTTGGTCCTTGCTCCTCAGTGTTACACAGGCCCACTGCTTCCTGACGTACAGGTCTCCCCAATCATCGCTTGACTGACTGATAATTACTGTGTTACAAGAGGCTTTCATGGAAACTATTTTTCCAGATTACCTGTTCACTCTACTGCCTCTGTAGCTGTATGACCGTTTGGCTGGGTATAAAAGCCTTGCTTCAGACTTTCTTTCCACTGGGCTTTGGTAGGCAGTGTTCCCTGCCTTCTGGCTTTGCGTGTTTCTGTAAGGGAGTTTAAGGAAGGGCTCAGGGGCTCACCTTGTTTCTCTCTTTCAAAGTTGATTTGACCTCTTTTTCCTGGCTGCCTAAAGAACTCTATCCTCTAGATAAGTTCAGTAACTCTACTAGGTAGGATGTGCCTCAGGGTTGCACCCTTCCCTCCGAGGCATGGCGTGTCCTTTTGATCTGCAGATGAAAGCCTGACACGTTTCCTTTGATCTTTAAATACCTGTACTGTTTCATTCTGTTTACTTCTGTGGAGATCCCAATAATACACATGTTTGACCTCTACCTGCCCACTCCACTTGACATCTCTGCGAGTCTGGTTATTGGCTCTAGTTATTGACAGTTACTTTTCTCCATTTTTACCACTCCTGTCTACGTATCTCCCATTGAGTTCTCTGTAGGGTTGCTTCTGAATGAAATTTTCCCCCATTGCTGTCATGGCATTATTGTTTTTCCCCAGAGGTTGTGTGCATCCCTCCACTGGCTCAGAACCCATTCACGCGGCCTCGCCTCGTTACAGGGGAGGCTGGGAAATCTCATTTCCTTTGGATGGTCGCATGCCCAGCTGCGACTGGGGAGTCCTATCACTGCAGGAAAATAAATATTGGAGAACAACTAGCAGACTTCACCACTTCTTGGATTAAAGGAAGAATCCACATGAAAACTACAGACTACATGGCACTAAGGATAGGAGCAAGGCTTATAGGCACAGGTGTCTGTGCAACTTTAACGCTGTAAACTTAGCAGAATAAAAAGGAATTAGAAAGACTGAGCAAGGCTCCTTACACTTAAGGAGCTATAAGAGCTAAGATAGTGAGAGGCATAAGAAAAAAGAACATCATAAAGGGCAAAACCCGTAACAACCAGAAAAATAATAGAGAAGATTGAGAGTGTGGTTATCAACTGAGTTGTGGGGTTCCCCACCCCCACCAAAACGTGTGTCAACTTGGCCACAGCAGTCATTGTCACATCATTGTCCACCACCTTGTGATGCCACTGTGTGTTGCCAACCCTGTGGTGTGAAGGAGGCAGAATTGGAGGCTGTTGGGTCATTGAAGTGTGATCCACAGGGTTAGGCTGCATCTTAAGTCCATCTCTTTTGAGACTGAAAGAGGATAAACAAGCAAACCGAGACCTCAGGTTCACTTAGAAAGAAGAGAAAAGAGTGGAACTTGTCCTTTGTACACAGGTAGACCTGGGGAAGAATGAGGCTATGACCTGCCCCCAGAGCTGGCAGAGAGAGAAAGCCTTTCCCTGGAGCCAGTGCCCTGAATCTGGACCCCTGGCCTTCTAAACTGTGAGAGAGAAAACTTGTCTTTTGCTAAAGTCACCCACTGTGGTATTTCTGCTGCAGCAGCCCCAGATCACTAAGACAAGCCGAGGGCTGATGCTTTCGAAAGATGAACAGATAGTGCTCCGGGCTTAGGACGGAGAGTGGGAGTAAGTGTGCTCACTTCAAGCAGAAACAATCACAGGTAGGGCTGAGATGGAAAACGGTAATAGGCCATTCATGACGAACAAACTCTACACCCACAACTGTGAAAACTTAGACAAAACTCTCAACAAAAGCAACAGAAGACAAACTCGATTCAACGAATAATCATTAGAGAAGCAAGATGCTGATCAGAGATCCTCTCCAGCTGCAAGAGTCAAGAATATGAACTTTTTTACAAGCAAGCTTTAGTGAACAATCATGGGATAGATAATTCTATTTTCTATCACAGTTTCTTAAGTAAGAAGCTTCAGAAGTTAAAAGGAAAAAGCTCTAAAGAGACATCTTAAGAGTTGATCTTTGATTCCAGAGTCAATTAAGGACAGGACTGAGAAATCAAAAGACCAATTCGTTGATTAACATAGATGTGGAAAACTCCTACATATTATTTTAATGTTATGATGGTTTTGAAGTAATGCATTGTGATCAGGTAATTCAATACAGAAATGCAACCATCATAAAAATGTCACTGGAGTTGACCACTGTGGCAGTTGCATAGTCGCCTGTCAAACTGGGAAGGGGTGGAGTCTAGCCTGTCAATCAGGCCATAAGCAGTGAGACCTCTGTGTGGGCATGGCTTTATCCTGGGGATTCTGGGAACTCCTGTCTTCCTTCCTGGAGGTGGAACTACTCTCTCTGCTTAGTCTTCCTGCTGACAAGCCACCTGGAGCTATGCTGATGCAGCCAGAGCCCTGGAGCTGGAGGAGCCAGGTGGAGACCCACACCAGCGCTGAGATGCTTCCACCACCACTGGAGCCACAAGACTTTCCACCCACTGGCCTGTGATCTTCCTGCATTCAGCAACATTGCATGTGTTGCGTGAGTCTGAAGAGGAACTTATAGACTGGTATTGGACAAATGGGCTAATATCGGACTTAAGAACTTGATTTGTTCTGGGCTGGGATCTTTTCTTAATGTACAATTGCTCTTTGCTGTAAAGTTCTCCCTCACACATATGAATCTCTGGATTTGTTTCTCTAGTCAACCTGGACTAACACAGCCACACTGAAGAGTAACGGAGAAACATCGTGGTCGTGTGTATCTATAGTGAACGTCCCTGACACATACCCATTAGGATCAGGAACAAAGCAAGGATGTCTGCTGCCCCTCGACATGGCTCTGCAGGTCCCGGGCAACTCTCCAGGCAGGAGAGAGAAGAGAGGCTGAAGGGTTGGAAGTGAGGAGAGAAGGCTCACTCGTTGTTGACGATGGGATAATCAATACTGATTGACTTGGACCAATGGGATAGTTGAACCACATGAACAGATACAATAAGCCAGATTTATACAAATCAACAACGCTTCCCTATATTTCCAACAGCCAGTGGGGGAAGTGCTACAGAAATAAGAACTCATTCATTTAGTTGTAATATCAGGGAGCCACATGATTCAGAAGAAGCCAGCATCCCACCCTGGCCCAAAGGGCGGCGAAGAGGGGACATCCTGGATGGTCTAAGCCCATTATCATCCCGTCCCCTTGCCAGTGACTATGGTAGGGGTGTGCACGCAATGCCCTTCTCTCCGGGGAAGCATGCAAGAAGAATGCTGGGAGCATTATGCTTGTTCTAATAGGTGTGAGAGGGTGCACGCGTGTGCACACACACACACACACACACACACACACTTGTTGAATACAAATAGCTACATTCTGTGGGGAGAACCTGGGCCTTCGGTTGCATGGTTTGCCTCCTGAGTTAACCCATCCAGAAAAAGTCAGCTTTGTGCTTCTGAGCAGGAAGATGTATTCTCTGTGCTTAAAACAGGTTTGGGTCCAACCCAAACCTGAAAGGTATAAATAATTTCCCACACTGTAGGTCATTTGGATATGGATTTCTTTTACTTGAAACAAAAAGCCTCCTAATTGATGTGACTTTTACACAGGAAATTGAAAACCACTTAAGAAGAAAGCACATATAACCGAAGAGATAATGCCATCATCCTGGATGGAGAAAACCTGACAAGGTAACCAGATTAGGATGTAACGATCTTGCAATGTCAGTAAAAGTTTCCGAGAAGGGTGTGTGTGTGTGTGTGTGTGTGTGTGTGTGTGTGACTGAACAAACTGTAAGATTCAAATGCAAGAACCAGTGTCAGAGAACCATAGCCCAAATAGACACGTGCACACCATGTTCATCACAGTGCAGTTTACGACCAAGAGAAGATAGAAACTACAACAGGCCCATCGGTGGAGGAGTGGACAGGTAAACTCCGGTCTGCACACGATGGCTAAAGGCTCTTCGCATCGACAGGACCAGGCTTTGCTGGAGGGAAGGAAGGAGAAGCGATGTGCTGATGGAGACAGGAGAAGGTAATATTCCTCACGAGGAGGAAACGAGAAAAAGGGAGCAGGGAAGGTATTGGGAGGTTTGTTGAACACAAAAATGAAGACTTGAAAGGTACCTCCCACCGAACAATAAAAAGACTTTTTTAAATAAAATAAGTGTTCATAATAGCTAGGTCACTCTGGGAAAAGGAAAGCAGAGAGGAAGATACCATCCTGTCCGATCTCAATACGCATTTCAAACCAGGCATGCAGCACTGCGGCATGGGCCTAAGAACGCACAGCGGAGGAAACGGAGCTCGTTAGTGCATTTACGTGGAAATGTGATCCCAGTCAAGGATGGAGGCGACAGGTCTATCATCGGAACAGAAGGGACAGAGTACCTGGTAGGTGATGCTAGGAAACTGACTCATGGTTTGGTGAACCTTCAGCTGGGCGCCCACCTTGTCAGCACCATCAGAATGACCTTAAAGACGAGTAGGAGGAAAGACTCAAACGTGACAGGCAAGGCCATGAATCGAATAGAAGAAAAACAAGACCTCGCTGTGACCACGTGGGTGCAGGTGGGCCTCTTTAGCAGCACTGCAGGCGCGGGCAGAACCGGTGGGTTTGCCCAAATGGAGACAAAGGATTTTTGTTCAAGTGAAGGCGGCCTCGGGCCAAGTGAATGGAGAGAGACTGGGTGGAGGGTTGTGCCATCCAGCCTGCCTTGCACCGAGAAGCTACAAGACCCCGAAGACTGAGTATGAGCAAATACAAATCATGAACGGAGGCTTGGCCCCGCTGGACACAGGGGAACAGCAGCCATGACGCTGTCACCAGACTTGCCCACTGGGTCAGTCCAGGTGGACTAAAGAAACCAATTCATAGATACTCATCTATGTATAAGACAGAACTTTCTATGCAAGAGCAAGTGAATATTGAAAAAACATCCTAGCCCAGTTCAGATCAATCCAGAAGTCCAAGATTAGCCCATATGTCCGATAACAATCTATAAAGTCCTCTTCAGACTCACACAACACATGCAATGATGCTGAATGCAGGAAGATCACAGGCCAGTGGGTGGAAAGTCTTGTGAATCCAATGGCAGTAGAGCTATCTCAGCGCTGGCAGGGTCTCCACGTGGCTCCTCCATCTCCAGGGCTCCAGCGTAGCTCCATGTATCTTGTCAGCAAGCATGCCTCATAGGGAGTGAGTCTGTTTCCTGCCTCCAGGGAGCTATCTATCTCCTTAGTGCCTCCAAATGAGGTCATCAAGCTGTGACCTGATTGATAGGCTAGACTCCACCCTTAATAGTCTCAAGTTGACACCAGATTGTGTAACTACCACCCTCGGAGCTCCTTTTGTGGATTCCAAAGGCTGGCTGGGTGTCAGCACTTGTCAGGGTGACTTCTCTCCACGTAGTTCTCTTCCACACTGCTGAGGAAGCGCTGCCCCACCCTGGCCCCTGGCTGAGGGAAAGGACACCGAGGAGATCCTTCGGAGCCAATGACCAGTCAGCCACTCTGGTCCCATCAACAAAGAGCAGTTGACCTCGTAGTCAGTGACAGGCCCTTCCTTCTTGCCCTCCGGCTTCTGATGCATTCTCTCCCAGCCCTTACACCGACCCTGGGCACAGGCGTCCTCTGCGAAGCCACCCACTCGTTGCTGCTCGGCCAGCCCTCCTCAGCTCGGCGGTTTACTGCCTCTGGTTGGCCTTCAGCCATTGTGGGCCAGCAAGCACCGAGCGGCCCGTTGAAGGATTCCGTAACAAACGCCGTCAAGGTCCGTGTGGTTGTCACTGTTGGGATGGGTGGCACGCACATTTCCTGAACACTTACAATCTGATCTGGTCATTGTCCTTGGAACCGTGACCATGTGGGTGTGTTTCGGGTGGCACGTGGCATTGCCTCTCGGTGGGAGTTTTGCATGCCGGGAGGCCTCTGTGGAGCTGTTATGACCTCAACAGTGGAGACTCTTCGTCCTGGTTAAGCTAGAGAAAGACTGCCAACCCTGCTGTGTAGCACAGGGGCCATCGGTCACGGGCAAGATTCGGGAAGTCCGGCTCCCAGTCCTGACCCACTTCCATTTCCACACTGTGCCTTTCTTGGGCCCCCTGTCTTCCCTCCTGCTCCCTGGCCTTCCTGTGTTCCAGTAAACCCTCTCTGAAGTTTCCTTGACAAACAGAGGAAATGTCACTACTCTAGTGCCTCTCCATCTGTGCAATGGGAACCCGCGAGCATGGCGGCTGAGGCCACACAGAAAGGTCTGGGGACTCTTCTAGAATGCTGGCCTTGGCTGCAAAGCCCAGCAGTGCCCCTAGGAAGAATCTGCTGTGGTTTGAGCCAGGGAGATGGCCACGCCAGTGATGGGCCGCAGCTCAAATCTCGAATGTCCAGTTCCTCAGCCCGACACAGGAGAGTGAATGGGGGGGGGCTCGGCAGGCGGGCCCTGCTGGTTTTCTGGGGGTTGCCGTGCTCTGCAGGAAGGTTTCGGCCCTGATCCTGGCCCAGGGGAGGGCAGCACCTATTGGCAGGGCCATCCTTGTCCATCTGCTCCCCCTGCTGGGCACAGGGACTGGGGACACAGCGGGGACCCCCATGACTCACTGACGCTGTGATTAGTCTGGGACCAACCCTGTGCCCCGCCCCCTCCCCCAGGCTCCTGTTGTGCTGCCTGCTTCCCTGGAGGTTGGTCAGTGCCTTTGGGGTCCCAAGTGGACCCCTGACTTCCAACCCCAACTGCTCAGGGAGGGACGGAAGGAGAGAGCAAGAATTCTGTGGCAGCCCTTGGGGAGAGGGGATGCTTTGGGCCCAGTGCTCTGAGTGGGTGCCACCAGGCAGGTTGGGCCAGGCTGCCTGAGGGACCATCCAGACCCCCTCCTCTCCATGTCTGGGAACGGCAAGACAGTGACAGAGGAGGCTAGGGGCAATCCTCTGAGGCTGGAGTCTTAGTCCCTGTCCTCCCTAAGTCCTCACGGTCCACTTGACTCACAGCCCCCTCCACTCCCCACCGGCCAACACACACAGGTCACTCACCTCACGGAGGCCAGGCGGCTGCCATTCAGCTTCAGTTGGCTCAGGTTGGGCAGGTGTACCCCTAGGGGCCACAGGAAGAAGGCTGGTGGCAGGAGCCCTGGCCCTCTCTCCAGCCCCCACTCTACCCTGCAGGGCTTGGCTGGGAGAGACACTGCAGCCTCACCCCTGCAGCCCAGCCTGGTGCTGGGAACAGGGCGGGGCAGAGTAAGGAGGGCACACCAGCAGACAAGGCCCCCTGGGCTGCCTGCCCTGCCCCGTCCATGCCCCCAAGGAGTCGGCCATGACCCCCCAGAAGTGAGAATGTCCATATGGCCTGCAAACCACGATCTTCCAGAAAGGGTCTCCTTTGTGGGGGCACTGGCCTGGTGACTCAGTGTCCCTGGGCCTTGGGGGCCGGCGAGGAGCCTGCAGGGACCACAGATCCACATGTACCCTCAGGAACTGAAAGGACACGGGATAGGTGACAACTGGGTCAGGATGCGGAAGGGGGAGGCTGCATGGACACGGGGGTCCTGACGGGTCACTGCTGAGAGTGGATGGTCCTTGTTCTCAGAAAATACCCCCCACATGTCTGTGGATGAAACATTGTGTGTCTGCAATGAGTGGTGGTTCAGGGAAATGCTTGCCTGAGTGTGTGTGCTGTGTGTGCATGTCTGTGTGCGTGCATGTGTGTTGAAGTGCACTCCCGTGTGTGCGTGTCTGCATGCATGTCTATGTGCACGTGTGCTGTGTGCACGTGTGTGCACACATGAACAGCAGAGGCATGTGAGAGGCTCTTCAGCATTCTCATGGCTTTTCTCCAAGTTCAAAGTTATTGCAAAATAAGTTTCGAAAGCACATGGGCAGCTTTACCAGATGCTGTGTGAACCTCCCGGGGGCGCTGTGTCCTCTGGTCTCTGCTTGTACCTCACACAGAGCCTTTGGCCTTGGGTCTGACATCATCTGGGTGGACACTGGCTCGCCTGCTGGTCAGCAGAACCTGCCCTCGCCCCGGGGAAGTTGTGGATGGGGGCAGGGGAGCAGGCTCTCACCGAAGTTCCCCAGGCTGTTCCTGTGGGTGTCCACACACATCTCCAGGGTGTGGACGGTGCGCAGGTCATCCACCTGGGCTAGCGCCTGCTGCAGACACCAACAGGCCATCAGCCAGGACACTACCTGGAGGCATGGCCATCCACCTCCTACCCTCCAACCAGGTGTAGGGCCCAGTGGGCACCCTTAGCTCAGACAGGGTACCTTCTCACAGGGCATGGCCATGCTGGCCGTGTCAGGAGGAGACCCAGGGCTTCCCTGCCAGCCAGCTACCCTCCACCGGGTCACAGCTGGCGGTGCCCAGGATGAACATGTGCTTAAGCCGGAGCTGCAGCTGCTCCTCTGAAAGGTGGGGCCCATGTGCCCGTGTGGAAACAGCGCACACGGCTGTGCTGCGTCTCTGCATGTGCGTCATGCGTGTGGGAGAGGGTAGGCCAGCTGCCCACCACAGCCTGCCCAACCCCACCCCCGGCCTGAGCTGGGGGACTTATTCCTCAGCCCTGGTGGCAGCAGGACACTTAATGCCTGAGCAACCCTCCACCCGGACAAGGAGTCCCTGCCTGGGGACCAGTGTCCAGGGGACCCTGAGGACCACCCGAAGGCCTGTTGGTGGGCTGTATTGGCCGGAGGTGGAGGCTGGGACAATGACAGGCACTCAGGGCCAGCACAGCCTGGGGCAGCCGGGCCCCTTCCCTCCTTGTCCCACCTGCCCGATGTCCAGTCTTCGCCCTCCCCTTGCCTGTCAGAGGGGTGTCACCCTGGGGCAAAGCCAGTGATTTCCCGGACTATCAGGTCCTGTCTCATTGCCCACCCCTGCCCCAGGACTCAGGCAACAAACAGGTACCACCACCCTGCCCGAAGGCCCAGGAGGTGGGCACATTGACAGCCTCCACTCACCAGCCTGATGGGGGACAGGCACCCCTCCATCAGTTGCTCCCTGAGGGCCGTGCTCTGCGGGCAGGGGTTGTGCAGGCCCGGCCAGCTCAGCTCCCGCACCCGCACGCTGGCCATGCCAGACGGAGGGCTCCGCATGCCCTCTCTGGCCCGCTCCATCTATTGTGAAACTGGGCAAGGCAGAGGGCAAACCCATGGGGGCCCCAGGCTCCTTCCTCTGCCCCCAGCCGGAGACCCTCAGACCCCAACAAGTGGCCTCAGCCTGAGCTCAGCCCATACCGTCCACGGAGCCTGGTTCAGGAGTCTTGACTAAGGTGACCAGACGTGCCGCTTTTGGCGGGACAGCCCCGATTTTTAACAATTTTTCCTGTGTCCTGCGGCGTTTTAAAAAAGTCCCAAGTTTTGGAAAAAATGCACAGCAAGCTAGGGTATACAGTTTTCGACTGCCATGTGGCTATTGCGCCAGGATATGAGTTTTATCAGTGGTGTCCCGCTTTTGTCCGCTTTACCAATGTTACAATCTGGTCACCTTAGTCTTGACAGGTCCTGACCGGGGTCTCTCACTGGGGTCCCTTGTCTCCAAATGAAGCCCCTGGAGAGGTCCCTGATCTTTCTGCCCACTTTGTGGTAGATGTCCTCTGTGGCCTCTGCCTGCCAGGGGGCAAACTCCCCCACGTGTGTGGGCTGCATGTGCTAGGTGGGCAGGGAGCAAGGTCTAGGGCAGCAGGCTGCTTGCAGAGGATCCCAAACAGGCTCTATTTGCTCTAGAAGCAAAAGGCCTCACTGGGCCTCCTGTGCTGAGTGTGGTAGCACCTGGGATCCCACCCACCCAGGGACCCCAGGCTGGCCTACTCCCCACGGGAAGCGTCTCCATGCTTCCCCTGGTTTCTCCTCCCTCTGTGCTACCCTAATTCTATGGGGAGTCACAGCCCCAGAGCCAATGGTCAGGGAGGTAGGTTGACCAGGGCCTCCCTCTGCTGTAAAGAGACCATGAGAGCCAGGCCTGGCGCTAGGTGGCTGGAGGTGGGGGTCGGGGCCAGGAAGGGCTAGTGGCTGGGCTGCCCCTGGGAGGAGGAAGGTGGGGGTGGGTGGGGCAGCTGGGGGTGGAAAAACAGGAGTGCTGGTCTGGTCTGACCACACCTGCAGCCCACGAGACCCTCCCCTTGCAGCCCAGCTCATTCAACCAGCTGACATCACCATCCAGGGCCTGCAGCCTCTTGTGGACACAGTGACTCGGCCAGCCCGGGGAGTCTCACCCACTTGCTTTGTAGCCACCGGGACTCTGGCCCTCACACAGCAAGTCACTCTGGCCTGGCCCCATCGGTGCCTCAGCCTGGCAGCACCTCGCATACCTCCCCAGCCTTGAATGCCAGTCCCCCTGCCTGGGATGGGCCCTGAGTCTCTGTCTACCCTCAGGAGCAAGCAGCTGCCAAGGACTCCCAGGCTAGCGCCGGTCCTGTCCTTTGAGTACCCCGATACCCCCTCCCCCCGACATACTCACATTTGATGGGCATCAGGCTAGTGCCAGGGCCAGAGTCTTGGGGCAACCCCACAGTCTGGCTGAGCCCCTTACCTGCAGGCAGTCACACATCTGGACATGTGGGTGGCATGTGGTCCCAGACAGCACCTGCAGGAGAATCTGGTCAGGATCCCCAAGCCCAAGCACCAGGTGAGCTAAGCATAACCCCCACTGCTCAGTCACCACTGGGTCTGGGTGGGTGGGGGGCCGATTCTGGGGTCCCTGTGCACTCCGTGTGAATGTTTCCTCCTCCTCCAAACCCCTTTCTTCATCCCACTGGCCCGAGCTCTCCCCAAAGGAGCCCTTGCCTGCCGCTCGATGGGGTTGGCGGGCTGCCCCTGAGGCCCAGCTCAGGGCTGGCCCTGCCTGTTATACCCTGCGATCCAGCCCCTGGGGTAGTGGTGACCCTCATAGCGAGGTCTTCCCTCTGACCCCTTGGAGGCCCGATCACGGGGTGCCCTGCTCACACCCTGCTTCTCTGCCTGGTACAGCCAGGTCTATATGCGGCACCCCTGCTGGGCCTGCCTGGCCTGGAGCCCAACGTCCACAGGCTCCTTGGGTTAATGAATGAATGAATGAATGAACGAATGGTTGAGGGTCTGCCCTCCGGAAGTCTGACCTCTCCAGGGCTTAGGGTCAGCGGCTTGAACAAGTGTGTGCCCACACCCCTCAGAGCCAGGCTCCTGGTCGGTCCTTTTTCCAGAGTTTGCTGCAGCCAGGGCAAGGCCCCAGGGTAACCCTAGAGGTACAGTCCTCTGGGGAGCCGCTCCCCAGTCAGTCCCCTCCCCACAGGCTCCAGCCCAGGTCCCCTGAGCAGAGGAAGGCCGGGCTAGGTGCCCCCACTCCCAACCCCCAGCCCCAAGGGGCTGCCTTTGTCTCTCCTTCCTTCCTGAGATCAGCTGACCTGGGGGTCTGTCTGAACCCAAGGGCCTTGGGGCCAGAGGTCAGCGCCCCGGCTCTGGAGTTCCTGCCAGACTCTGACAGACCCTCTGCACCCTTGGAGGCCCTGCTCCACAAGCCCCTAACCCATGACTCCCGGGCGCTGCCCGCCCCTAGGGGTAGAGGGTTCACAAGGCAGCTGGTGCAAACTTGCTTGGTGGGTCACCCGACACTGTCCCCAACCCCAGGTTGTACCCCAGAGACCCTCCTTCACCCCTTTCTTGACTCATAGGGATGACCCCAGTCCCTCCCACCTCCCTACTCCCTTCTGTGCCCTCCCTCAAAGGGCAGGGCCTGGTTCCTTCATCAGAGACCCCAACCTGGACACAACCCAGAGCTGACCCGGTCCCGAGCTTATCTCTCCTCCCCAGGGACAGGGCTTAGCCCCTGTAGCACTGCCCTCCACCCCCGCCCCAGGGGGCCGCAAGACCTGGGTCCCCGGGGTCAGCGGCCTCAGTTTCCCTCACCAGCACAGGGGCGGGCGCGGGGACACACGCAGGCGCTCACCCGGAGGCTCGGCCCGGGGTCCTGGGCGCCCTCCGCCTCCAGCGTCGCTGGGCCTCCGGCCAGTTCTTTCCGCCGCAGGTTGCGGGCCCTGGGCGCCATGGCAACGGGGGCGTGACCTCATTTGAATACTCAATATTCATGATCTCCGGCCCGAGCTGCCCGCAGGGGCCCGCGAGGCCTAGCAGGTGGGGGTCCGGGAGGCGTTGCGTCCCGGGACGGACTCGGGGAGCCCGGCGGAGGGGAGTCCGACGAGGTGCGGCCTGGGTTGTGGGGACCCACCTTTCCCAGGTGGGGGTCGCCCCTGAGACTGGGACTTGGGGGACTGGCCGGGCCCGGAAGCTGGGTTTGCCGGCCGACACCAGCAAGGCCAGTGGGGAAGGGTCCCCAGAGCGAGGGGTCCCCATCGGAGCCGGAGAAGACCCGGCGTGCCGAGCGCCAGCGCCCGCGGCCTGACCGCAGGGCCTGGGGCGCGCGGCGAGGGTCGGGGTCAGTGTGTCCCCGCCCGGTGGCCGCGGGGGGGCCGCAGCGGCAGCGAGGGGCGAGGCGGTTGGGCGGGAAGGGAAGGGCTGATTCCCTGCGGAACCTTAGCTTTCAGTGTCCCCCTCCCGCCATCAAAGTCTGAGATGGGCCGCGGAAACTTATTTTGGTTTTTTCTTTCATAACAGCAGTCTTGGTATAAGATCTGTCGTGATGCTGTCAGCACATCGTCCTGCAAACATCCTGTCATGGGACAGTAGGGTGTCGCCCTCAGGCTTGAGTGCTCCTGGTGCGTCGGGAGCACAGCTCACCCGCCTGGTCCTCGCCCTGGTGCACAGCGCTGCGCTCAACGCGGGCGCAATGCTCGGCTCTTTCCGCAGGTGGGTGTCCCTGAGAAGAGAGGTAGCTGGGTCCTGGTATTTCTTTTTCTCTTTTACAGTTTTATTGGCACATATTCCACCTATCATCCGACCCAATAGTTCAATCGGGTTCAGAAGAATCGTATACTCATTACCACAATGAATTTTAGAACATTTTAGTGATCAAATCGCATTTAAAATGAGTGGTAATCACAATTAGTTCTAGTGCTCCCTCCTCCCTCCCTCATACATTGTTTGCTCCCCAAATCCCCTCATCCTCCCTAATCCCCTCCCCCCACAACGCCCCATAAACCCTTGCATCAGTTATTATCGCTAGGTATCCACTCCTTCTGTGCTTCACAACCTGGAAAACCCAACAGAAACAATTTTTTAAATGAAATAAAGTGGTAAGGCTAGACTAATAATAATAACATACAGATGTTCCTAAATGCTTCCCCCTCCCCTATCATGATCCCAATTCTACCTTGCAAGTTTGGCTAACCAGAGGATGTACACTGGTACAGATAGGAACTGGAAACACAGGGAATCCAGGGCGGATGATTCCTTCAGGACCATTGGTGTGAGTGGAGA